GAAAGATTATAAGAACCAAATGCCAGGAAGTCTGCTGGTATTGACAGCCTCCCTTAAAAATGACTAACTAAACAAGACTGGAGCAATACCAGTATCAACAGACATACTAACACAGAATGGGGGGGGGCGACATGGAAGGGGCACAGCTTGACAAGGAGCTACAGGCAAGTAAAGACTACTGAAAGAGAAACAATTAGCCTCCCCCCCAGGTATAAACCCCTTAATTGGTTACCCAGTGCAAAGTGATGAGCACTGAAACTACATCTATATACACGCAAACAACAAAATTGACTCAGAAGTTTATATTTATATATTTTTGCATACTTCAACATAACATATGCATCCACACAAACACTGGAGGGAGGAAAGAAAGGGAAAGGAGAAACTGATCCAATTACATTTTCATTAAGAATACATACTAAATTAAAAAATGATAAGATACACAAAAATATCAAAACAAAAACAAATGTATTAAGAAAATCAAGAATATATACCACCCCCAAAAAAGAATTTGGAAGTGACATGAACAGTCATTTCAACATAATTGAGACATACCAACACAAAAGCACCTAGGAAATGGCATGAAGTTTAAACACAGAATCTAGATGTTTAGAATCCCACAGAATCCATAAGTTTAGAATCTCGTGTTTTAACCTGGGTTCCTGAATTAGAGATGTCAGGCAGGAGTAGCTGTTCTTTTTCCAAGTACTGGCGCACTAGGGCCCATAAGTTAGGCTGACCTATCCATTATCATAATCATGCCAGCCTCAAGAAGGTTGCTGGCCTTACAAGTGATTCAGGACTCCAACCCTTCCCGACTTCCTACATGGGCCTAACTGCTGGCTCCTCTTCATCTCCCTATGTGAGATGTTTGTACCCTTTCCTTCAATGCCAGCTCTGGACATCCTCCAGCAGCCCTCCTGCTCCTCTCCCTGGTGTTCTGTAGATACAAGCACATCCCTCTCCTCCTTGTCCTGCCCCTCCCACCCCAGGCTTCCTCCAGCCTTGGACAGGAACTCAGTTGGCTCCTCAGAAAGTCAATCTCATCATCCTGCTTGAAATAAACAAGATTATCAAGACTCCAATATGTCTTTTGTGAGATAAATGAACTGACAGTGGTAACTTCAGTCCTTACAAATCTAAGAACTATACCTCACAGTACTAGGGATATCTGGGTATCCTTTAAGTCGCCATGGAGACTATCCATGTTTTCTGTTTTCTTCTGAAAGCATCAACATACTTCAGAACAACAACTAACTTCAGCTTTTTCATCTTTCCTTGAAAAGGGTTACAATCATGATTGATGGTCCCTATGAGTATTTCTTGGATGCAGTCAGTATTCCTTGGATGCACAGTCAAGCCACCTTTCCCTGTCTCTCCTGCAAGTAATACAGCCATATGGCAACAATATCAACAGCAAAATTGCGGGAAAAGATATGTGTCACATCCTAGCCAGAATGTTTAGGAGGCAAGTGTGTCCTTTCCTCACCCTCTCCTTGTATCTGTTGGGGAGCAAGGGATAGAGAAGACCAGCCAACACCAATGGGGAAGCCAGAAGTGGAAGCCATCCTTCTTGGAGGAAAATTTCCCACTAACCATGAACCCACACTGGATTGTTCCACGAACCATTACACTTTTTAAGGTCAACAAAGCACTGGTGCCTGGTGTAAACTAGTACAACCAACATATTATATTTAAGGGAGTCAAATAATTTGGATGTTAGAGCCCCAGACCTTTCTCCTAGAAAATGCCATGCAGAACGGGAAGCAGGAAGAGATAGTCATGAATAAATGAAAATATGTGTCACACATACAAACAAGTGCCCTGTTCCTCCTGTGCTGCTTCGTTTCAATTATACCTCACAGAAAGTTTAGGAGACAATACTGTTACCATCCACATTACTCAGATAAGGAAACTAAAGTGAATATGCCATATTCAGGATGTAAAAGAGCCCATTTCAAAGTTTGTTATTTCATTGCTCAGGTTGGTTGTGTATCCACCACTGTTAATTGGATCCCTTTCATTTACAGTCCCTAGATGTTCTAGTGGGTGCCTGTTAGCCTGGTGACAGTGTGAGCACTACAATAATTGTCATTTGTCATCTCTGCAGACACTGGGGCCTCTGTCAGACAGCATTCACCAAATTCCCCAGCAAGTTCCTAAGGCAATGTTTCAATGCTGATAATAAACTTGCCAGCCTGAAACCCAGCCCAAGCACAGTGAACAGGAAGTCCACCAGCTGGGCTGGATCATTCCTGAACAAGTGGGATGTGTCTAGGAAAAGTTACAGCAGAACTCGGTGTACAAACCTACTTCAGAAGTGCTTTTAAGTCAGGAAGGACTTTAAAGACCTCCCAATCCTCCGAGAAACAGTGCTAAGGGAATGTCTGGCTGGTAAGAACCCTGAGGCAGATTAGACATGGAAGGCAGATTAGACATGGAAGGCCAACTCTTGAGTAGAATGAAGAGCTTGGGAGAGCTATCTTTGACTGCTCCTTGCTTGGCTTCCCCAATTGGAGCATCCTACCACCTCATGACTAAGGAGCCAACAGACCTATTTTGTGGTCGCAGCCTTGGTTCTATCTTCCCTATGGAAAGCAGGATGTAGTTTAAGCCCCAGTATTGACCAAGGTCTCATCAAGGCCTTTGGGCAGATGGAAGCAAAGGTGCATGGTTCATTGATCCATCTTTTCTTAGAAGGGTGAGAGAACTGTGTCAAGAAATGACTATAAGCACTAAAATGTCAGCCACTTGCTGTGTAGTCTTCAAATGCCGGCTCTATCTTTGAGTTCTCTCCCTGTTATGGGCATGGTCTAAGGTTGGTCCAGGAAAGCCTGCTGAGAGAAGGGTTCATTCCCTGCTGCTAGCTGGACACCAGGCAAACCAGCTTGTCTAAGGAAACTGTGTGACTCAGCCTTCTAAGCATCTTGTCACAGCCCAAAGCGGAGGAAAAGTACTCCATCTTATTGCCAATAGGGTTGTCTGTGGCATGTGGAGGTTTGAAGTTTGATCCATGTCATGCCAGGAACTATGACCTAATTTCACTCAGGGTGTGAGCATGGTGTAATCTGAAGATGAGTCATGGTTGGTGAGAAGGATTAATTGAATGCAACTCAAGGTGCTCAGTGTGAATATAGGAAGTAAATTCCAGATAATGGAAGGAAGACAATTGACATTGGACTTAGAAGTGGAGGTGATAGGCTCATAGCACATGGAAACTGAGCTCATGTTGGTGACAAAACCAGACATATCATTATATTTATTTCTTCCTTTTATCTCATCTTTAAATGCTTTTTCTTTTATGTAGGTGGGTGTTCTGCCTGCATGTCTGTGTACCACACACATCCAGTGCCCACAGAGGACAGACAGCTGGATCCCATGGAACTAGAGTTAGACAGTTATAAGTCACTATGTGGGTCCTAGGAATTGAATCCAAGTCCTCTGGAAGAGAAGCCATGGTTCTTAACTGCTGAGCCATCTCTCCATATTTCTTTCAAAAATTCTGGCAAAAACTTCCGTACGACATTACCAACTTTCAAACGTAGAATTTGAGGGTGGGGAAGTAGAGTGGTATAGTTTATAAATAAATGGAGCTCCACTCTAAATCCCTGTGCCTGTATGTTATCAACAGTGTGCTATCCTGTTTTTGCTTAGAAATTCAGCCCAGCAGATGAATAACTGCTACTTAAAAGACCTATCCTGCAAATTTCAGATATTGTGTTTGGATTGGAAAATTAACACTAGTTCAGTGATTTTTTTTCTCTTGATTTAGCTCATGCTGTACAGAAGTATGTGGTTTAAATTTAATTCAGGGCTTTCATATTTATTTTAGGCGCCTTCTGTCTCCTACTTATAAAGTTATGCTATTTTGAAAGAGAGTTTGTTTTAAATCCGCAGTTCTTTACCTGTGACCCCTTTGTAGGTCAAAAAGTCCATTCACAGGAGTTGCCCAAGGCCATTGGAAAATACAGGTATTAACATTGTGATTCATAATGTAATTCAAAATTTTAGTTATGAAGTAGCAACAAAAATAGTTTCGTGGTTGGTAGTCACCACAATATGAGAAACTGTATTAAAAGGTTTTAGCGTTAGGAAAGTTGAGAACAACTGTTTTAAATCTTTCCACGTTTAGAATGAAGTTCAATTATCTGTAGTTGTAGATTAGCAACTACTCTCTTTCACAGGGCAATAAATACGTACTGATTTATTGCACAAAGAAAGATAGATAGGTGAGGTGGTACAGTTTACAAACGAACTCAACATGTTAGACATAGAAAGGGGACTGTTTGAAATTGCACAGTAATTAGTATGTAATTACTGATGTTTTCCTTCTTAGATATGGGGAAACCCTGAGAAATCCAACTCATTTGATAAACTTATTGCTCCTGAGCAAATACAAAGTAGGAACCAGCTGGCTGTGAACTCCAGCAGTAAAGACCAAGAGCAGTAATGGCCACTCAGGCTGCTTTGGAGAACCATCTGGAGCGCTTAGAAGGTTCTCAAGCTCTACTGGAGAGTTAAGTTTCAAAGCTCCATGCTAGGGTACCAATATTATCCCAGAGGCTCCTATTGCTTCCACTGCAAGCTAGAACCACAAGAACTGCCAATCCAACTCCCATGGTCCATTCCCTGTGCCTTCACACCCCACCTAATGTCCCACCTCCCCCATGTTTTATCCCTAGGGCTAGAAAGAGAGCACTCAGCTAAAGCAGGCAAGCAAGCTTCAAGGGAGATGAGAACATACTGCTAGGTGAGATTCCAAAGGTTCTCAAATCAATGAACCGTCCAGCGCTTCACCAAGCAAAGTGTGTAATGGTTAGTGTTTACAAAAGACTATACTTGTACCATCTCTACACTTCTGGGTGTTTTTTCTAAATCCTGGATGCAGTTTTAACTGTGACACTCTCACTAAATCTGAATTTTGTAATGAAGCCACATGTTCTCCTCCTCATTATCCTACTGATTTGAGAGATGATTCCAGCGCAATCAGATTCCCTTACCTTAATTCCTTGTAATCCATAACCAGGGGGACCAGGAGGGCCGGGCAGACCTTTTTGACCAATATCACCCTGTGTAAAGAGAGGGAGAAATTGACAACAAAGTATAGAAAGGTTAACGAGGGGAAAAATGGACATATTACTGCTCTTGGCTTCATTCTTACCTAAACCGATTAGGATTCTCTTGCTATAAAATAGTTCCAATTTCATTAAAGATATGTTGATCTAAATATTACTAGGCCACTTACTTGCTTACAAACAAGCTTTTCAATATAACCCAAGCATAGGTAAAGAGGCAGGGAAGAGCAGCTTGAAAGAAACAGGAAGAGAGGCCAGGGACTTCTGCATGGCAAATCTAGATGTCCCCACTCCAGCTTGCCCACACCAAGTTCAAAGACCACTAATGCCAAATTCTATTCAGGCTTGAACATGCTGCTCACTTTTAATATGGAATGCCGGTTTACTGGGAATGCTGTTAGAGTCAGTGGAATGGCTGGCAAACAGCTTGGTTTATAAAGTACCTCCCATGAGAACCTGAGTTGGGTTCCCAGCACCCACATGAAAAAGCAGAGCATGGTACTTATAATCTCAGAACTGGGGAGACAGAGTCAGGACAATCCCTGGGGCTCAACAGCTGGCAAAAATCGATGAGTTAAGATCAATGAGTGATTCTGTCTCTAAAGCTAAGTAAGTAGTTTCTGAGGAATGACATCTAAGGCTCAGGCATCTGCACGTACACACACACACACACACACACACACACACACACACACACACAGGCAAATGTGCTTGTATATACACAAAGGTACATGTATACACACACAACAGTACACAGTGAGGTAGTATACACACAAACATGCACATTCATGCAGCCATATGGCATTTAGTGATGGGAGTATATGCTGTAGAGTATATGATTAGGCAGTTACTATACAAGCATCAGTATCCACACACAAACTAAGGTTTTGTGACATCACTAAGAGCTATACTCTTCAAATGTGCAGCGTAACCAACGGAATTTTGTCATGACCATTTTAAAGCTCTTAGAAATTTTGCAATAAAGCAGTTTACCTTTCCATATCCCAAGAGACAGTACATTCACCCTGAACAGCACATGCTTTGAGAAGAGGGAATTAGTTACTAAATAAGTCGGGGGATTATGTTTTGTTTGTTTTTCTTGCCAATACAAGAGCTTTCTTTTTCTCAAATTGTAAGGATGTTTTCTCATTCCAAAAAATACTTTAAAACTAAAATTACAGATGACAATGAAAAAAAAATGGATTCAACTTTTCCCTGATGGTGACTTTGTCACTGTAGGGGATCATTCATGTATATACAGTGACCCCATGAGTTTTCTAAACTAGCCTTCTTCGAGATGAAAGTCAAGGAAGAAAAAGGAATTAAGAAATCTGATGAGGTTGTGATCCTCAACAAAATTCACGACTCAAGAATTATTTCTGCCCTCTTCTCCAATAACAGGGTTCAATTTCACATGATTTTGGATGTGACTAGACCTATTTAAAATATGAATTTGTGGTGTGTGGCGCATTGGCACTGGTTTACCAATACTTTCTTGCTTCATCTTTTAAACAAATAAAACATGTATTTCTTGAATAAACGAATGAACAATTAGAAGAGCGTTTCACCCTCATCACTACTGACATTTTGATGGGGATAACTCTGTGTTTGGGGAAGTTATCTTGTTCATCAGAGATTGTTTAACAGCACTCCTGAACTCTATCCAGTAAATGTCAGTATCATCTTCAGTTAAGATGGCTCCAAATGTCCCCAGTAGTGATAATGTTTAAGTGCCTCCAAGAGCATCTCTGAAGATGAGGAGAAAATCCCCCTCAGTAGGACACACTGGATTAGAAGAATTAAAGAATTGATAAGTACCAAACTAGAGGAGATTAAGCAAATGATATAGAAATAAAGGAAAGCGACCCTGGAAGAAACCACTTTCTATGGGGACAATGAAGTTTGATTTTTACACCAAGTTCTGACACAGTGGCTGGAGATAGACTATACAGTACATACATTTGCCAGTGACCTGTTAAAAGTCCACCCAAAAAAAAAATGTGACCAAAAATGTAACTTTTTTTCTTATCCATATGTAGCTCAGGATGGGCCCAAACTTGACACGTAGCACAGGTAGGCCTTGAATTAGTAATACTCCTGCCTCTGCCTCTCAAGTGCTAGGACTAGAGGTGTATACCACTGTATCCAGCTAGGATTTGCTTCTTGATGAGATAGCACAGCCTCTGAGAAACCTGGAAATATTTAGGACAGTTTTTATATTGGACACTCTGAAACTATATAGTTTATCAACTGTGCTGTGAGAAGTTGACTTTCTGATTTTGTAAGAGAAGCAACTGTTTTAAAGATAGTGTAGATCACATGACCTGAGCAAAGATTTCATCAATAATCCAGAAAAAACTAAGCCTTCTTATGAAGGAGCTGTCGAATGGGTTGGTGTCAACTCTTGGTTGTCCTGTCTTAGAAATGCTTGGGTGACAAAAAACCTCAGAATTTAGTTTTTTCACATTTGGAGTACATATTTGTACATGAGGATTACTTTGGAGATGGGATTCATGTTGAAACACAAAATGTTTCACAGATACCCTCTATAGACGCTTGAAGGCACCAAGATTTTGACCATTATTCATTCCATGGAGTCAGCTATGGACTCACCATTTGTGATCAGAAGTTTCTAAATTTGGAGCTTTCTTTGTTTGGGGTTTTCCAATTAGGGATATCCTAACTGGCACCCGATGCTCACGCATATCAGAGACTGGAGAACTCACCTTTGGTCCTTGGGTTCCAACGCCCCGAGGCCCAGGAAGACCTGGAGGGCCTCTGACCCCTGGCTCTCCCTGAAAAGATATAATGAGTGATAAGTTACCAATTATAAAAAACATGCATAAATGTTCATGTTAAATATACATTTTAAATACCGTTTACACATTTTAAAGTTCCTTAAATTTCCCTGAGAAATTCACTGAGCCCATTTCACCTAAATCAGCTTGCTGTTTTGAAGTTGTACATTCTCTTCTCGTCACGTGTGTACTCTTTCCTGATAAAGAGTTCCACTTCAAATCAATCAGTTAATTAACTTCTTGGCAGCATTAATGTGTGCTCCTTCCAGAACTTGCTTCTCTGGAATTTGGAAATCTAATTACTGCTTTTTTGATAGAGGAGGAAAGGAAATATAAGGATAAAAAGAGGCCACAAGGAGCTGTGACCACATCCTGAATGAGCTGCTCCTATTATTTCCTCAACTAAAATAAGGCTATTTGACTTGGACGTTTACTCTGATGCTTGAGCTGCAATAGTGATTATGGTCACAGTGTAAATTCAGTAAAGATCTTGCTGTTTCTCCAAGGCGTGACACTTTAAGGCTGGTGTCCGGGCTCTTCCTGAGATGGCATTGTCAAGAAGACACAAATAAAATCCGCTCCAATCTTCAATCCCTGTATGGCAAGATAATGTTAGGAATGTTCATGGTTGATATCATTTAATGTTCAGACAATCTTCTGTCACCATGCTGACTCGTTTAAATCATCTTTACTTCAGTAAATCCAACAGATATGTGGGAAATAATGTCTATACTTCATTAAGGATTGGAGTGAAATGAGATAATGATTCATAAGGCCTAGCACAGGATAATCACTTGGTAAATGTCAGATCATTACAAACCTGCTTTAATTAAAGAGGACACGACTAAAGCTTTGCAACTCTGCCCAGCTACTTGCAGAAGAGGCTGAGCGGAAGTGGAGAAGCCGCAGCCCCTCTGACTAGTTGTTACAACCCCTTGGGCAAACTGCGTGGCACTTTCTCTAAAACTCCAACATGTATGTGCCACTCGACCCACTGATTTCATCGCTAAGACGCATTCAAGGAAAATAAAAGCACATTACACTCAAAGCCAGGCAAATGTGAGTCCTTAGCAGAATTATTCAGAATTGCTCAAACCCAGAAAGAATCCAGTGTCTATCATCTGGCAAATAAGTGAACAAAACTCTTAGGATAAAGCTTGAGCGGGTCCTTGGGTGGGGGATCATAGCCGATTCCATGGTGGGCGATCGTGACCGAGACACAGGGGCTAACACGACAGCAGACGGAGTCTAAGTGGGAAGCTTTATTAGAAAGTGGGGGAAGGAAGGAAAGAGACACAGAGAGAGGACAGATGAGAACAGAGAGACAGGAAAAGTCCTGTCTGTCCCAGGGGTACAGCGGGGTGGAGAGGAGGAGGAGGGAGGGAGGGAGGGAGGGAGGGAGGGAGGGAGAGAGAGAGAGAGAGAGAGAGAGAGAGAGAGAGAGAGAGAGAGAGAGAGAGAGAGAGAGAAGAATTGGAAAAGAACAGATAGAGTGGAGCATAGAAGAGGGGAAAGAGCCGGAAACAGGGGATGCAGCCGAGGTCTTTCTTTTAAACAGAACCTTTGCACCTGCTGCAGACTAGTAGTCATGGAACCCTGGGCTGACCAGAGTACTGCCTGAGTGCACTCTGTCAGGTGACAGGGGCAGGCCAGCATAATGCCTGAATCATTACAGAAACCCTACAAGAAACAAACTATGGATTCATGTTACAATATGAACACGCATTAAAAACAACGCTCTTGATGACAGGTACTGGCATACTGTAGGATTCCAATTATTGAATGTCCAGAAGTAAATAAAACTATAAAAACAAAAATATACTAGTAGTTGCCTGAGGCCAGGATTAAGACATGAACTGATCATAAATAAGCATGAAGGAGCCTATGGGAAATATTCTAAAATTGATCTGTGAAGACAGTTGTAAACTAAACTTTACTGTAAAAATCACTGGCTTGTGTACCTAATGGAAGGATCCTATGAATAGGCATGTTTTTATAAAATTACGAATTAAAAAAAAAGGGGGGGAGGAGGTTCCAGGGAGGTGTTTCAGCATTTAAAATCACAAGATGGTCTTCCAGAAAGGCCAGGTTTAGTTCCCAGCGCTACAGTTCACAACAGTTTGCAACTTCTGTTCCAGGGGCTCTAACACCCTCTTCCGGCCTCTGAAAGCACCAGGCAAACATATGGTATACAAGCTCACATGCAAGCAAAATACCATGTATATATAATTTAATTTTTAAGGTTATTTCTTTTTAAAAGAAGATTCAGAATCAGGTTTTGGACCTACCTGTTCCAAGATCTTTGTCTTTCTACAATGTTTCAATAAATAATTAAAATAATTTGGGTAACTTTACAGCTCACTTTATTACTGGCTCATTTCTCCACATCTTTGCAAAGGATTTGTGGACAGTCCATGCCATGGTTGCTGGAAGATATTTTTTTCTTCAGTGGTGTAGCCATCCACGAGTTTCCCAGGCTCCTGCATATAATTCTCCATTCATACTTCTGAAAGGTTGATCCCAATTGAACTCATTGGTGCTCCAAAATGCACTTGAGTGAAATAATTTCTTCATTTCTTTCATCATGCTTGCCCTGGGACATGTGTTCAAGTTTCTTGAAAGAAGCCCATGTGACACAGCTCCATCTCTGCCACCTAGGATGCGTGTGCTAATTATTTCTTCAACACCTCTCTCCTACTGACTGTCATGCCTGAGTGACTTCAAGTTCCTCCCAGCACTAAGGATCAATCTCACACAAAGAGTTTGAAGCAGTGAGCATGAATACTCTGTGTCAGACACATTTCTATGATCTTGGCTTTCTTGAGACCCTCTGAAACACCCATAAAGGAAGAGTCTGCATTGTGTGAGGGCCTCTAGCTACACCTGACTGATCTCTCGGCTTCTTAAGAGAGATGGGGCTTTTATCTGTCAGGGTTTTAATACCATCCAACAAAAGAGAAAACCAGCAAATATAGCCATGCAGGTTTTACTTGGAATTACTAAATATGTTGTCAAACAGATGTGATCGATGGCTTCCTTTCCTGGGTTGCTAATCACCTCTGTCGTCCCAGAATTTGGTAGACAGTTTCATCATGATGTGGCTGGACACCCTGTGGAACACTCTGTGGAACACACCGCCTGACCTGTGAATAACATGGCTGAGAAAAACCAGACCTGGCTCCAGTTTGAATAGGTATAGATAGGTCTGCCTGTTTTTAGAGACAGGAAGAGAAATGCATGAACCACCACACCGAGAATAAAGCATAATGTCAGCAAAAGCCTTAAGTACAAACAACATACTTCTGAAGGAAGTACAAGGGCATACTGAGGGGGAACAAACTGATTTCAAGAGACTTGAGAGGTGCCACAAGCAAATGCAATGTGTGGGCATCACTCAGACGCAACTTATTTGAACAAAACTCTCATAAAAAATTCATGAGGCAAACTGGAAAATTTGAACACTAGATATTTGCTGTAGTAAAAACTTGTGGATGTGTTTAGGTTTTATAGTAGTTCTGCAGCTATGTTTTGAAAAGAAATTCTTTTATTTGAGAGATAAATATCAAATCTTTATGTGGATGATGTCTTGTCTGAGGATTATTTCAGAAAAAGGCACCGGGGAGAGAAATAGGGAATACAGATGAAAGGAGACAGAATGCATACCGATAACAGTATGTGAAAGCTGTGTCAGGTGACTTTCTTAATGTTTACAATAAATGGATTTGATAACGTTGTCTTAAATTCATGAACAATATCCAATAAAAATCTCACCATTACCATGAGTCAGTATTGTTGTAGTGTTGTAGGAAAAGATTACGTAATTTAAATGATTTTTTAAAAACAGCCAAAGGGGAGAGGTGCACAAGTCGATAACGAGCATTATGGATAGAATTTGCATGTTTCAAGCGTTCTTTGTATGTACCAAATGTCATATAATTTTTTAAAGTGTTGTAAATGATGGCATAGGTTTTTTTTTTTTTTCTAAATCTCATTCTTTGAAGAAAAGAATTGACATGCTATTAAACTCGTGATATTTTCCTTGTGGTTTTAGTTAAAGTGTCTTCTCAACTAGTACAGATCATATTAAAACATGTACATGTGCACACACATATGTGCGATATACTTTCCATAGACAGCAATATCAGGAATTTGGCAAATAGAGAGAAATAGCATCTCGCCATGATAAGAGAAAATGCATAGTAAATGTGTCATGTCTCTTGTCCCTTGGGCCAAGAGTCCCTGTTGACAGCTGGAGCATAGAAGACAGGGGATTGTATGAATCTCATGTCGCCACTCAACACCAGTGCTTCTGCCATGACACAGGACTGGTGTCTAAACACAAGTGTGTTTACCTATGGCATTTTCTAATATGTAGACAAATTGTCAGTAGTAGAGTGCCATTCTCAAATAATGGGTTTAGCTGGCCATGTAACATTGGAGGGTGGTGGAGCCTGCAGAGGGAGCCCTTGTACTAGGAGACAATGGACAAAATAGCAAATTCTGGAGCTCCTATTTATAACCACTTCGCCAACTTTGTAATCCCGCAGCCCAAATTCTACAATTATCTGCCTTGCCTTCCTCATAAAAGAGCTGTTTAGAAGACCTCCTGCTTCTCATTGCACACTAAAAGGGGCTCTAGATGGGAAACACCTTTTTCATTTCCACAGAAATGTCCATGTTCAGGACAGACTACACACTTGTTCCTAAGAATGAGTGATCCATACACCTATTCCTGTGAATGAATGACTTAGCAAGAGTTTTAGCCACCATAATTTACAGAGTGCTCATTTTTGATCCCTTTAAAAATGGGCAGGTTCTTACCATGGTTATAGGAAGCGTGCACCTTTTCCTCACATCAGCATTTTTTTTTTTTTTTTTGCTGTATCTTATAATGGTAATATTATTATGAGCAACAATGAATGTTTATGAAGTTTATTATCAGTCACTATCTATGTAATCCTATAAACATCAACTTATTCCATTTGATAAATAAGGAA